ATACTCAAAATCAAGATCAGTGGTGATACTCATGACAACGGGTAATATGCCTTCTCTAAACACGATTTCTCACCTGGGTGAGAAATTGTGTCGGGATGAGAAATAGTGCCTTAACAGACATCCTTTTATGGCCCAGATGGCCTGTATCACTCACCTGGATATTTGAGCAATCATGGGAAAATATTCTCAATAAAAAAACTTTGGCAAATATTTCCATATATTGAGTCTGTATTGCTTATGAATGTTCAAGACTAAATTAAACTTTATACTACTCTATTCAGCATGCTACTGGTAAATTGGTGGAAGAAGTTGTTTAAAGATATTTACATATTTGACCCCTGTGACCATGAAATAGGTCAAGTTAATGTTTTGGGGGAAACTTTATAGCACTCTGTCCAAGGTACCTTATGGCCAAATATCATTGCTCTTGGCCTCTTGGTTATCGCCAAAAAAATGTTAAAGGTTTGAAATTAGACCCTTGTGATCTTTAAAGCACCGTAAAAACTCGTGTAATTTGGATAATTTTTTTTGTGTTAAAATTAAGTTTGAAGTTGGGGGTGCGCAAATTTCATAGCTATAGATGTTTTCAAGATCTTATTTTAAGAAATTTTGTCGAATTGAATGGTCCGCCATCTCGAAGAGACAGGATTTTCTCCGGATCTGTTTGCACACAGAACTTCCAGACAGATGAACATTTAACTATTCATTCTGAATTAATAATTAATAAAAGATGCAAATAGATATTTGTGTGGCTATTTAAATTGATAAGGCATTTAACGTAAAGTTATTAAACTAATCAAAATAAACGAAGTTGGCAAACACCATCCTCTAACGGTAGATGCATATAAATTACATTCTCAGCGGCTAACATTTTGGAAGCAAAGTTATAGGCCTTTTATTAACACAGCATTTTTAAAATGAATTAATAAATGTGTATCAAGTTCGTAACAAACCTGTCTTTCAATTCCTGTCATGAACACACCACATCATGTTTCAATAGTACTGTACTGATAAAACATCTTGTGTTGTTTGATTAAAAAAACATCACACTCCATCTTTTGCCGGTCATAAGGGTCATAAGCTATAATTAAGCCATTCATGGATATTAACAAATGTAATGTGTATCATTATCTCCAACTACGGTGGGGAAGCCCTAGGTCCTGTCAGCCAAAAGTCTCAACTTGACACACATGTAAAACCGGCACAAAATCTAAATCTGACCGATTGGGTCAGTCAAGTCCTCTATATACTCCATTTCGTATTAAACTAACAACAACCATGATATATACAGGTAGCTACTCGGCCGAAGGAACGACAGAACAGGCATTTATTATAATTGCATTTGATGCGATAAAGACGTTTCCATACAATTTTGACAAATTCACTCCACAACCCACAATCTCTCCCTCTTATTGTGAATCATATTTATCAACAAAAACCAAGCCCAACACCCAACCTGAGCTCCTTTCGGAAGCAGGTGTACCAGCCTGTCTATGCTTCAGGTAATTTTGGGGGTTTTTTTGCTGGGGTTTCTATACATCCAACATAAATACGATTCCCATATATTCTCAATGTATTCATGTACATAACATTCCATATGAAATAAATTTAAATTCAATTTAGATTTTAAACTTGTACGTTCCGTCTACGTCCGAAGCTAGAATGACACAATAAAAACCACTCGTGTCCTACCCCACACACATGCTCCAACCTCATTGGTCAATACCAAATCGCATGAATTGCTCGCCCTAATATGATCCTTACGTACCAATAGGACAAAATATTGCGCGCTATTCTCCGAAACATGCGCAAATTTAAATATTCTGAGGGAGAAAAGGTTTTGCGACTCACAAATATGGTTCAACCCTACAAAAAGATTGACTTCATTCAAATCTGGGTGAAGGGGTTAGACTATGTTCTACTAAGGGAGATAAGGTTTCGCAGAAAAACAGGTAAACCATGGTGGTGACCTTTGACCTCATCCAGTCAGCTTGGCTGCTTGCTGTTTGAGGGTTGCTAAAGCTATCAAAGCATGGTTAGCTTTATAGTTCTTTTCCAGTGTTAATGAATTGGGCCTATGAATCTATTCTCTGCTTACAATAGACTCTACTGTAATGGATATAATATTTTGGAGAGTTTTTTAAATTCTGACAAAAAGACTACCGTAAATTTGTGGGTATAGTGCGCACTCGGGTATAGTGCGCAGGTACGTTTGGAAAAAAATCCTAAAAATAAACAGTATCAAACTGGAAAAGTAGCATCAAAGGTAGCTTGGTGTTTATAACGCCGATTAATTAACGATTGATTGATTGGAGTCAACAAGCCCATGAAGGTCTCCCTCCATACCGCTTGGTGGACGAATCCTGCAGAAATCAAACGAAGAAAGTGTAGCTAATTCTAATGCCAGAGAATCGCCGATCAACTTATGATTCGACATCTCAGCTGTTTTCTCATAATTACGAAAATGTAGTGTTTCAATTATAGGCTCCGTTCCATGTTAGTTCTGTTGGGTTTTTTTACCAAATCTCTAGGCCTAGTGTGCATTTTTTTCCCAGGCTCACTTTCATGTTGACGTGATCGATAACCTCGTGAATTATTCCAATATTATAAAGCATCATAAAAATAGTGTATTCTGCTTTTATTTATTTCCTTCGAGTAGATTTGAAGGGGGATGTGTTGAATGTCCACACTTCTAGTATTAACATATTTTTTATAATCCCTTTACGGTCAAATCAGTCTGTAGTTCTAACAGTGCAGTGGGGCTTCACGCCACGGCACATGTTGAGGGGTGAAAACAACACGGTCCCTCGATCGCGACTACAAGTAATTTCAATTAATTTGCAGTAGAACTATTGTTAATCGGTAAACACTGATAGAGTGTTAGCTAATTACTGCATTGTAATTTGTATTAACTGTGGTTAGAAGTGTCAATAATTTTCGCTGAAGCATGGCGATCCTACATAGCCTACCTAGCCTATTGTCCGGGATCAGACGGTATGCCCTTCGGTCAACTTACCTGTAAAAATGTTACGTGACCAGCTAGTGTTTGTCGCCAAATCAGCAGTCATGACTACAGATTACCGATTTTAATCATTTAAGAAAAGGTAAAAAATTGTATTCCAAAAAAATACATTCTTTGTTGTTATTTTAATCTTCAATCTTATCATATATGACCGACGACTCAAAATAAAACCATTTGAAGGGAAGTAATCCAATATGGCAGACCAGAAACTTTAGAACGATAACCCAAGAATGACTTGTTCCTGCGTATAGTGCGCACCCCCTTTTTGACAAGACAATATTTACCCAAAAAAGTGTGCACTATACGCGCAAATTTACGGTAGTCATATTCAAGTGGTCAAATTTCAGGCTTATCTGCAGTTGTAAGTTTGCTATACAAAGCACAACGTTAGTGACCCACACATTGATTGTGACGGGAACTGACGGGAACTGTGCTGTGTTACAGTGAGATATCCCAAGCCACTGATGGACCCTTCTCACTGTGATCATAACAAGGCAATCCATAGTCCCCCACCGGTGATGATGTTACAGTTACTTAACTCTTGCACTCTGCACTCCGTCATCCCAAGATGTCCTTGTACTACTCCAGGTGAAAAAGTAATGAAGATATGCCCCGGGCAAACTTTTTCAAAAGTTAAGGTCAAAGGTCAAAGCATAGGTCACAGTGAGGTCATAGTGACCTGCTTCCTGCACTCTGCACTTCGCCATCCCAAGATATCCTTGTACACCAAATCTGGTTAATCCAGGTGAAATAGTAAAGAATATATGTTCCTTCTCGGATGGAAGGACGGACGGTAGGACAGACAGACAGACAGAGTGCAAACCTATAGTCCCCCCAAGAACCGGTGGGGGACTAATTACGGTAATAATAGGTGTCTAATCATAATTTTCAACTTGAGGTAGGAATCTATGATTACTTCACTACACATTATATATAATTACTTGTGAAGGTTTGTGTAAGACGATGAATATTTATGTAAGTTGGGTTGGTGTGTGCCCATATGCACACGTGTTCAGTCTGATGTTACAGCATACTTCAAAGAAAACAAACATTGATATGCATCTGCATAAAGTCTTAAGCAATTTAATTCATAAACAAATACCACATTGAATTAATAAACTATATGAGAAAGTAGATATTTTTGTCCAAGTTTCAAGTCGGAGGTCAATTTGAGGGAAAAAATAGATGCACAAAATAGATAAGCAGAATATTTTTCAGGATTTTCAGCCCTTAAAAGTACCTGCGCAAATTACGAAGGTTTTTACAGTAGGTCAGGTCATTTATTTGGGAAAACTTTATAGCACTTCATGCCAGGTACCTACTGGCCAAGTATTATTACTTTGGGCCTCCTGGTTTATCAGAAGAAGTTGTTTGAAGGTTACATAATTGACCCCTGTGAACTCGAAAGTAGGTCAAGGTCATTTATTTGAGGAAATTGTATATCACTCTGTCCAAGGTACCTACTGGTCATATATCATTACTCTGGGCCTCTTGGTTTAAAGGTTTAAAACACGTTTGACCCTTGTGATCTTTAAAGTAGGTCAAGGTAATTTATTTGAGGAGACTTTAAATCATTTCATGCCAGGTACCTTCTGGCCAAGTTTTATTACTCTGGGCCTCCTGATTGTTTAAAGGTTTTAAACACATTTCACCCTTGTGACCTTGAAAGTAGGTCAAGGTCAACTATTTTAAGAATTTTATAGCACTCTGTCATAGGTACTTACTAGCCAAATAGCATGGCCCTAGGTCCTCCAGTTCCTAAGAAGAAGTTATTTGAAGAAAAAGTTGACGGACGACGGACAACATACCATACCATAAGCTCAACTGGTGAGCTAAAAAGTTGATGCTGGCCGGACGACAGACAGATGAACGCCTGGCCAAGTGAGTTAAAAATATTAGTGCATAATGTTTAATAGACAGAGAGTCAGAATACTGACAGATTGGATAAGATAAGTTTCACAGTATGAGAGGTACTGACCTTTAGTAGTAACCGTGGATTCCTTGATGTAGGGATATTTCCTGGTCTTGTCCCCAGGGACGTGGGCATTGTTGCCCTTATCCAGGGGATTGTAAGGGGGAACATTAGGCACCAGCTGGAATTTAGGGTCCTATAAAAATAAAGAATGACTAATGAATTTTATCGGATAGCATGAATATTTTAAACATATATACTGCTGACTGATATTGCAAGTATCTACTGAAAGATTAGTGTGTAAGTTATTTCTTCATTAGAGACCCTTTTTTGGCCTAGTTCTAGATGTTATTGAAAACAATTTAAAGTCTAAGAGTATAGACAAAATTTTACTAAAGAAATAAAAAACACCGGTGTGTGATATGGTAAAATTTAAAATGAGGTAGGAAAAATGTTGGAAAAAAATATTAACAAAGACTGCTTCAGTGTTAGTAAATCAGTTTTCCAACATTTTCAAAATTTATGCTAAATATTCAACCATAATTTACAACCCTATGTTTATTACATCTAATCAGCAAATTAACAGCGGATGACTTGAATGTTTCCCTCGGTCCGGATGTTTTCAATCTTATTATTAGTAAATTTAGCACAGGTGTCTTGAACACTGTACAATCGAATAAACTTTAACAATCAAACTTAATTTTCTGAAGTCCAACATCCAGAGGTGACAATTAGCCTTAGATAAATGGTATTAATCTCATACTTCATCCCAGCATGTTACTGGCAAAATATCAACATTCCTTGTTTTTTCGGGTATTCTGAAGAAGTCCTCTAAAGATTTTTGACCCCTGTGACCTTGAATATTTTTGGTCGGTCATTTGAACAAACTTGGTATCCCTTCATTCCAGCATAATACTGGCCAAGAACCACCACCCTGTGCTTCTTGGTTATTCAGAAAAAGTTGTTTGAAAGTTTTCTATGATAACAGACCCCTGTGACCTTGAATGACCTGTCAAGGTCATTGATTTGAATGAACTTGGTAGCCCTTCCTCCCAGCATGTTACTAAGAAAATATCATCATCCTGGGCCTTTTGGTTATTCAGAAGTCATTGAAAATTTTTAAACATATTTGTCTCCTGTGACCTTGAAAATGGGCAAAGGTCATTGGTTTGAACAAACTTGGTAGCCGTTCATCCCAGCATGTTACTAACAAAACATCATCATCATTGGCCTCTTGGTTATTCATAAGAAGTTGTTTAAAGTAAAAAGTTGATACCTGATGGACACTGCACCACAGCATAAACTCACTTAGGCCCTTGGGGCCAGTTGAGCTAAAAATATGTCACATTAACCTGTGAATTGAATTGCACTTCGATAAATAACGGCAATGTTTTATTGAATGTCAAAGAGTAATATTTGTGTGATAATTATTTTACACTAAAATTTATCTATTTTGTGCATAATAATACTCTTGTTTAGTGAACTCTTTTGCCGATAATCCAGGTAGAGTTTATAGTGTTGATGCTTGAAGCTATTTTCAGTAATTCAAATTGATTAAACTGCAATAAAATTTTACTGCAGGCAACATGATGATAACACGATGATTTACTGACAGTATTCAATCTGACGATGCTATAACAGTTTGACTGTTCTTTCTCATCTACTTCACTGACTTTGATCCAATGTGACTTACCTAGATCATCTAGTTTTTTTTAAATTAAGCTGTTCTTTTTGGCATGCAAACTTTTGCCATGAGATGCCACATCTTATTATTATCATCAATTATAGCTGATATCATAATTTCTCAATGACAAGCAATTGGCCATGTTGTGCCAAAATAAAAAGCACAGGTATCATTTGTTAGATAATAACACAAAAAAATCCAAATGGCAAGCTTCACAAGGTTCACTACTGTCATACAAGGTCTTAATCATAATGCAATTTAAAACAAAAGGCCCAATGTAATAAAAAAAATTACAGCTGGTCTACATAACATATCACACAAGTATCATGACTCTAAACCTAATGCTTCTTAGGATATCGTTGTTTGAAGTTTTTAACATTTTTGACCCCTGTGACCTTGAAAGTAGGTCAAGATCATTTTAATGAGGAAAGTTTATAGCACTCCATCCCAGGTACCTACTGGCCAAATATCATGACCCTGGGCAGAATGGAACTTGAGAAGAAGATTGTTAAAGCTTTTAACCCATGTTGACATTTGACCCCTGACTAGCACTTAAAGCTGACCTTTATCATTACTGTAATAAAGAAAAGATTTGCACTGCTGGTCTTCATAACATACTGAAGTATCATGACTGTAGTCCAAATGGTTCTTAGGATATTATTGTTTGACATTTCAAACATATTTGACCACTGTGACCTTGAAAGTAGGTCAAGGTGATTATAATGACGAAACTATATAGCACTCCATCCCAGGTACCTACTGGCCAAATAGCATGACCCTAGGTCCTCCAGTTCTTCAGAAGAAGTCTTTCAAAAGAAAAAGTTGAAGGACGGACGACAGACGGACAGACGGACGCCCGACGCCGGACTACGGACATCACAGTACGGCATAAGCTCACATGGCCCTTTGGGCCAGGTGAGCTAACAAAAAACACTCTTGCCTTCTTAGCCCCCTTAGCTGGAATATCATCATGGAAGACAGGCTGTGTTTTTCTCTTCTCTTTCACCTTCTTAGGAATAAACTCTGGCTGGAGTCGTCTGTGTGGAGTAAACATCAAATAATTTAAATGAAAGAGGGAATAAAGAGAAGACACAATTAAATACAAGATAAAGTAAAAAACAGATGAATAAATGGATTGCAATGTGACATAAACAAATTGTATCAAATACAAGTGGTTAAAATGGCACTGTGCCTGATCTATTATCACTAGCCCTCCACCACTGGGTTGGTGTTCTCCTCCACAACCATAACCTGGCACATCCTTAAATGACCATAGCTGTTAAAGGGACCATAATGGTAAAAATCACTGTTAGAAAATATCATAAAGAGTGTCATTTTCAGAAAATATATCACAAAATTTACACTTTCTCTTATTAGCACTAATTAAAAGTGTCTGGCAACATATTTAATAATTGCTTTATATAATAATCTCATTTTAATTCAACGTCCCGCTTGTATTGCATAATATTTAGTCTTGTACGAGTAGTACTGCACATGCGTTTGTCTGAGAAAAATAATAACATGGTGAAGTTTGCGAAGCGAGCTGAGGTCTTTCGTGATGAAGATGGCAAAGTAGCTAAACAAGGATATTAAAGGCCTTAAAAGAGGCAAGCCAAGAGGGTTTCACAGAAATGCAGCAGACACATCTACGAACAGACAAAATAAAGTTTGATTCCGACTTTCCACAGCCGGTGCTTGACACTGACAGGTATTAGTGATTATAATAGGGTGACGATTATCCAACGCTACACAGTCTTTGAGTGCTTTCCAATGAAAGATCATACTGCTAACTATCAGATTGGTTATCGGTACAAAAATATTTACTGTAAAACTGGTCACATAATTGATTGTATGTATATTTCGGCATCAACACAGACTAGAATGCAGTGTGGGGCACTATTTGGGGTAATGTTGTTGGCAGTGTATACCACTATCACTTAATATTGTTTAAAAACTAAAAATAATGCCAATTTTAGAAATGAAACGAGTCACCAATGTAGTGATGCTATTATGACTTTAAAACAGTCCATGCATTTGGGCTGTATAAGTAACAAGAGGCCCAAAGGGCCTGTATCGCTCACCTGTTTCTTTTGTTACATAAAACTGACATATAGGTAACTTCAGACCAAATTTGGTAACTAGAACACAAGACATTTAACATCTCTTAAACGCTTCTTAAGATATTGTTGTTTGAAATTTGAAATTTGAAATTTAAAGCTTTTAACCCATGTTGACCTTTGACTCCGGCTAGCCCTTAAAGTTGACATTTTACCTCATTACTGTAATAAAGAAAACGATTCACAGCCGGTCTACACAACATACCCAAGTATCATTCCTGGTACCTACTGGCTAAATAGCATGACCCTGGGCATTATGGAACTTGAGGAGAAGATTGTTTAGGCTGATAACCCATGTTGTCGTTTGACTACCATCTAGCATTAAAGTTGATCTTTGACCTCATTACTGTGATTTGCACTGCTGGTCTACATAACATACTCAAGTATCATGACTCAAGTCCAAATGGGTCTTAGGATATTGTTGTTTGAAGATTTTAACATATTTGACCCCTGTGACCTTGAAACTAGGTCAAGGTCATTTTAATGAGGAACGTTATAGCACTCCATCCAAGGTACCTACTGACCAAATATCATGACCCTGGGCTTAATGGAACTTGAGGAGAAGATTGTTTAGGCTTATAACCCATGTTGTCGTTTGACTACCATCTAGCATTAAAGTTGATATTTGACCTCATTACTGTGATTTGCACTGCTGGTCTACATAACATACTCAAGTATCATGACTCAAGTCCAAATGGTTTTTAGGATATTGTTGTTTGAAGATTTTAACATATTTGACCCCTGTGACCTTGAAACTAGGTTAAGGTCATTTTAATGAGGATAGTTTATAGCACTCCATCCAAGGTACCTACTGACCAAATATCATGATCCTGGGTTTAATGGAACTTGAGAAGATTGTTAAAACGTTTAACCCATGTTGACATTTGACCCCCGCCTAGCACTTTAAGTTGACCTTTGACCTCATTACTGTTATTAAAGAAATGATCCGCACTGCTGATCTTCATAACATACCCAAGTATCATGATTCTAGTCCAAATGGTTCTTGCTGATGTTTTTAATATATTTGACCCCTGTGGCCTTGAAAGTAGGTCTAGGTCATTTTAATGGGGAAATTTTATAGCACTTCATCCCAGGTACCTACTGGCCAAATATCGTGACCCTGGGTCCTACAGCTCTTCTACAGAAGTTGTTCAAAAGAAAAAGTTGACGGACGGACGATAGACGACGGACGACAGACGGACAGAGGATGGACGACGGACGCAGCAGTACCAGGTGAGCTAACAAGTGTATATTTTGCGATAATATCTTCACATCTTCCATTTATAAATGATAAATTCCCTTTGCCTCTAGAACAAGTTTGGTTAAAATCCCTTAAACGGTACAGAAGGAAAAGGATCTTTAATGTTTTCCTCTATTTCCCCTAATGGGCCCTACCCATCTGCCCCAATGAAGAGGTCCACACACCTCAGTTTATACAAAATTGATTCTTTTGTCCCTAAGCATGCTTCAGACTTAATTTGGTTTAAATCCCTTCACTTGTAAAGTAGGAGAAAAAAAAATCCTCTAATTCCTCTATTTCCCCTATTGGGCCCAGCCCCTCCAGAGGGGCCACACCCTCCATTTATACAACTTGAGGCTCCTTTGTCCAAAGATGCTCTAGGACAAATTTGGTTAAAATCCTTGTATTGGTTAAGAAGAAGAAGATTTTTAAAGATTTACATATTTTCCCCCTATTTGGCCCCGCCCCGCTGCCCCCAGAAGGACCATACCTTCCGTTTAAACAAAACTGAGAACCCTTTGGCCAATGATGCTCCAGACCAAATTTGGTCAAAATACCCTGAGCCGTTAAGGACTAGTAGCGTTTTAAAGGAAAAAGTTGGCGGACAGCGGACGACGGACTACGGACGCTGCACCATGGCATAAGCTCACTTGGCCCCTCGGTGAGCTAAAAAAATAATACCTGGATGCACAATATCGGGTGATAGTTATTATATCTGAATACTTTCATTGAAACTTTTTCTAGACAGTTAGGCGGACGGACAGGCTGATTCCAGTATACCCCCTCACTTCGTTGCGGGGGGTATAATAATTACATGTATATAATCAAATCATAAATTGAACCTACTTTGAGATTCATAGTTATTCTCTCTTTTCCCTATTTTCTTGTTGGGGGGCACATATTTTCACCCATTCCAAAGCTATGAGCCTTATTTCCAAAGAAAGTCAAAAGAAAAATTGTAGTAGCAGGCATACAAATGTAGTTTCAATTCTATGTTTCAGTATCAGTTATAACGACATTTTCTGCAGCACTGCTCTGAACAATGAAAAAACACCATTTTTCAATAATGTTATATTCTTGAAACATCAACTTATGAGTGGCATTAACGACACTTACTTAGTTGTATGTTCCTCTTCATCTAGAGGTTCCTTGCTTTTCTGTTGTTTGTTGTAGATAATCTCTGTCACAGACTTCTTGGCAACATCGTCTAATTCATGACGAAGTGTCAACTCCACCTGACGATTGGTGCCATATCGGAAAGATCCCCGAGGATCCTGTTGATTTGGAAATAGTTCCTTCCCCGGCATGTCTGATGTTTCTATACAGGAATATCCAATGAAACAAATTACAGTCAAAATGTAATTTCCACGAGATCAAATACAGTACCACGCTCAAATTGGCTACAACCAACATCTAAGCATTTTATATCACTACAACATCAATTGCATTATTCTTCATCTGTCAGCAATTAACTTACTTTCAGTTTAAGTCTATAATAAATATATCCTCTGCAGCCTTTCAGGGAAATGGCAGTAACTGGTTCACCTGTTTTCAGTATAATCCATTGCACTTTTCTTGATCTGTCAGCATATCAAGTTACTTTTCAGTTAAATTCTAGAATAAATATTATCCTGTGCATGCTGAGAGCTGGGGGAGGGGGCAAAAAAACGAGGACACTACCCACTAGATGACTACATATTTTTCTCAGCCACAAATCAACAAGAGGCCCAGAGGGCCTGTATAGCTCACCTGGATCTTTATGCCAAGTAATAGTACTGTATACTGGGAAAATTTCATCGCAGTTTAACTTTTGCCCCTTTCGCCTTCCGATCTGATGGTGAATTTTACATAAAGGCGAAAGTTTAAAAAAAAATATGTAAAAAAGCCAATAAAAAAACTCAGGTTTTAGTTTGGATAGCACAGCTTCGTGACGATGGGCACTCAAGACATTGAATATGGCAAGAGCTTTCTGCTTGAAAGGGAGGTCCAAATTCTCACGAGTTTGGTTAATGTAAGGCACAATTCAACGTAACGCAACAAGGTCTGCATATTAGACCACCTGTAACACCATTTCATTTATGAACAGTGTCTATACTTACCTGTATAATGCTGTGTTGCATTTTCATATGTGCCGAGTAGTCATGCTTTTTTTAGTAACGGGGAAATTTATAATGATTGATAGATAATGATTACAGTGGCATCGTTATCATATCAGATAGGATTTTAAATAAAGCTGAATCAGATGTTTTGTCAAAAGGTTTAATCTTCTACCCGACACTAAGGGCTCCACAATTAGATAATATACTCATACAGACATATTTATTTAACCAAAGGGTAAGGATTAAGCATTTTTCTTAGATACATTCCTTAACGTAGTAACAGAAAGTGTGCATGATTATAAAATCCAGAAACCACATAGATGCAACCATTCTCATAAAGAAAAGGATGCTCTTAAGTCTCTAAGTAATGATGACAGCATTAAAACCAGCAGATAAAGGTGGCACTATAGTCATCCAGAACAAAGTGGATTACATGATAGAAGTGCGGAGACATATAGAGGACAGACAACAAACATGAAGAGAAGGTCAAAACAGATTTAAACACATAAATTGCGAAGAAAAATAAATAACTTTCTCAAGTTCATTAAAGATACAGAACTGTTAACAGAGGATGAGATTAAATACCTCCCACCTTAGAACCCGCGCACACCTATTGTTTACACACTTCCTAAGTTAATCAAGTCATGTTAGTTTCTACTATACAGAAATCAGCAAAATATGAAAACACTTGCTTAAACTTCAAAATAAATAATATCCCTATTGAAAATGTCTCAAGCCATAAACTTTTAGGTATTCATGTTGACAAATCTCTATAATGGAATGTTCAGATTGACAAAGGGCCTGTTTCCAGTAATGTTAATTCTCCATAGGAGCCTGCCCCCGTATAATTTCTTATCTAGCTCAACTACTGTTTTTTTCTTTTCCGAAGAATAATTTTACACCTTTCCGACACCCAGATTTCATAATTTCAGTGAAAATGTATTTTTATAAAGTTGTCAATTTCAGCATCAAAGACATAAGTTCGTAAATAAAAGAAGGTTATCTCGAAATTGTAATTCGCAACATAGTATAAATTTCTTTTGATAAATATTTCCAAAACATCGTGTTTATTCATAAAACATAAAAAAAAAAATTCTCGGATGAAAATGCACTTGCAGAGACACAATTATGAAGAAAAATGCCATAAAATTGCAATTTTCTCCCGTTATATAGTTTTGGATGCAAATTTCCATCAGAAAATCGGATAGAGCTTTACTTGTTTCATATGTGTACCAAAAATCAGCTAATTCCATGTGGTGGAACGTTCTCATATCGCCGCCTGAATGTGGTTGTAAATTGAAAGAAAAGGGGAAATGAGTAACAACCTTGTCTGAAACCCTATTATATAGCTTATTATATACAAACTTTTATATTGAATATCAGAGCGGATATTTTCATGACAGTTTTATGATGTGTAACGACTAAATAAACAGTATCGATATAAAGATTTACACTGAGGACACCCTGATACATGAATACTGTTCTATCTCAAGTTGTCCTCTTCTGAATTTTCTGATCGTGTGGCCTTGTACATTTATCCGTATCTTCTTGTCTTTGTCTATACGTTTACGGAATCATTGACTCGACGCTAGCTATTCTTGTCTCACTTTCCTTGTTTTATTGTCCCATCTCCAAAGCGTTGTGGCTCTGTCAGGGTTGGGACCCTGACTTGTCTCACTTTCTTTGTGCCTGCCGACCACGCCACATCGAATAGATAGATTATCCATATGAAATACTTTATTTTGTTCTAAGTAATCAATCAATTCTGCGCTTCTTGGAGGTATTGAATGTGATTTATTATATTGTCTTGTTATTTTGTGTAATTAGTTGTTCGTTATTTATCACACATTTTCGCATAATTGTACCAAACTACTAAGTATTAGCTGTTTACAGCAATCATCGGTGGCTTGCTATTTTGTTACTTTATCGACGCTTCATAAACCAATCGTTATTGTTTCAAGATGGAGGGTAAATGTGTTGGAGAAGGGTGTCAAGTATACTTCAAGAAACGTAGTGGCAATAAGAACAGAAGTGCACGCAATGTAAATAGTCCACAATATAAATGGCTCCTAGATACGCTGGTGCAACAAGGATTGATGTCAGCAAAGGAACAAGCACTTATTTGCCAGAAGTGCTACATGAAGTATCTTCGGAACAAAAATCAGCCTGAACCTGAACCCGAGCAGAACCAGGAAATAGAGGAAGAAGACGACTCCCCGTCCCATATCCTGCCGTTGCTGACCCTTCATGATCTTTTGAATGGATCATCTTCACACAAAAAATGCTGTCTCTGTCTTGTTACCTTTGCAAGAAATGGAACAAAATCATCAGTCTTACCAAAACGTGCAAGACATCACCTGATCTATTCACACAAACTGTGGTGTCCCACCTCATCCCGCGTCTGCTCCATTCACCTTATTGGTAACGACTTAGATCCGTCTACAGAGGTTGTCCTTGATGGTAGAGGTTCCTTGGAATCTCAGTTACCATCAAAATCGTCCGAAATCATTAATGACCTCCTAGAGGTGTCGCACGTCCTTTCACAGAACCAGTCTGCGTTTACAATAAGCTTTTCTTCTCTTGATGACTCGGCATGCATGGCCTGGACAGGTTGGTCCAAAGATCAGTTCCTCGAAATCCACTCGCACTGTTCCCCATATCTTTCATCTGGTATATATACCAAGACTACACACGATGCTCTATTACTGTTCTGGGTAAAACTGAAAACCGACATTTCCTGGAGTCAGTGTTCTTCTCTTTTTGGAATTTCCAAGTCAAGTGTGTCCAAAACTTTCCACTCCATAGTACAGGCATTAGACACATCGATAGTCCCACAATTTCTAGGTCCGGATCACTTGACAAGAGAACAGTTGCTCGGGCACAATACTGTCTTTTCAGAAGCATTTTTTGGAGATAAAGCCACTGCCATATTAGATGGCACCTATATTTATATCCAGAAAAGCTCCGACCACAAGCTCCAGAGAATGTCCTACTGTGGCCAGAAGAAGAGAAACTATCTCAAATTCATGAGCATCGCCTTACCAGATGGCTACATTCTGGACACAGTAGGACCATTCACTGGCAGCGAAAATGATGCTACAATTACAAAAAAAGTCATGGACAAGCTAGTTACTTGGCTACAACCAGACGACAACGTTGTCGTTGACCGAGGTTTTAGAGATGTCCTACCAGTTCTCGAAGCCTCTGGCCTCAATGCTAGCATGCCGTCATACCTGAAACCCGGTCAAAGTCAACATTCTGACGTCCAAGCAAATCTTGACAGAACTATCACCAAATCGAGGTGGATTGTGGAATCCTATCATGGTCGTCTGAAACACTGGACGTTCTTCCGAACGCAATTGGTGTCTAACAGCTTTATCAATGTCATCGAGGCTTTGCTTCGAACCGTCACAGCCTGTCTGAATGGTATTAGAGGACCGATCTACCAGAGATCTCCAGAGAGAGATGCCAAAGATAGGCTAATGGCTGAACGTATGAAGGACCGTTTGACAACACCGAATGGTTTAGCTCAGAGAGTCAAGACAGATCCGGATCTATCTAGACGGGCAAGGTCCGAGTTTGTCAAGATGGATGCATCTTCCGTACTGTTTCCCCGTCTCGATCTTGATTACTTGAGAACCATTACGTGTGGAACGTATCAGATATCTCTGGCTCCTGGTTACATCGCCGAACATTTAAGTGATGACGGAGACTATGAGGTGTGGCTTTACCAGCACTCCCCAGACCTTCTCCGATGTCAAATACATTCTCGACACAAAAGCCAAACGAAATATAACGTTTGGATACGGTTCACCGTTTCACCCGATGTTGAGGCCCCAATAAAGGACTACTACTGCCAGTGCCCAGTTGGAGAGAGAACGATGGGAATGTGTGCGCACATCTCCAGTATCTTGTACTACCTTGGGTATTACAGGACGCTGGAAAACCCTCGACCATTACAACCACAGGTAAAGAAATTCCGACAAAACTTGAAATAGTTTTCCATGCGGCAACGGAGTGCATATGTCGAAAGTATGTTTGGGGCTCGATATGAAAGATCCCCGTTACCATGTGACTAACCAAACTTATAAATATAGGTATTATACAATCGCCCGTAGCTATGAACACTCCCGTAAATGCGAAAACCAACCAAAATCATAAGGAACACGTTTTGTTTGTTGTTCTGTCTATTTGTCAGCCAATGTCTTCAACCACGGGG